ACACCCCATTAATTGCCATATCCAACAATACGCTAACATCTCCTCAATTAAATCAGAACCCGTGCATCGCACGGACATAAACTAGTAAGAAACAAGTAAGAACAAACTTAGTTAAGAACAAGAAGTAAGAAAATATATGAAGCATCAAATCAAGAAACAAACTTAGTTAAGAACAGAATCCTACCTGAATAGAAGGAGGGTTTAAGGACAGAGAAAACAGAAGGAGCGGCCAGGGTTTATGCTATTCCACCCTTTGCTAACGAGGTGGCAATATACTGTCACACAAACCAAAATGTATTTCACACTTTAATATTCTAAGCCATTGTTTAGGGTGTGTTTGAACCACATTATTTTGGAAGAATGTATTTTAAAATAGTAGATTGATGAAAAATGCGCGATTCAAAAATAAGAAAAAGTTATTGATGTGATGAAAAATATTATTATATTCAAGAATATGTTGTTGAAAATGAATAGAAGAATGAAAATAAAAATTTAAATGTGATTCGAACAAGGCTTAAACTAATATTTTAAAAAATATAATAAATTTTGAACTATTTATAATTAAGAGTGTGTTTGATGGATATCATTGAGAAAATAATATATGTTAAATAGTAATATGATGAAAAATATGTGGTTAAAAAGTAAGGAAAAGATATTGATGTGATAAAAAAATATTATTTTATTGAATAATGTGTAGTTGAAAATGAGTTTTGAAAGAATATATTTTAAAGAATATGTGTCAAACATGGCATAAATACATTCAAAATATTTCAATATTCAATACTTCATATATTTGATATTTACTTAACTAAATAATACATAAAAAGAAAATGGAGGAAAATAACATATAAGGAAAATTGTAGCCATGGAACCAAATTTTTCATTTTATTGCAGACTTGATCCAAATCTTTCATTTGTACCACCCATGATACCAGATCTTTTAAAAATACATACTTGCAATCCAATCTAATGGAATCTGTTAGTTCATCTGTTAATTGACCAAAAGTCAATAATTTGACCAGATTTTGACTAATTTTAAAAAGTTAAAATAATAAATTTACATTTTCTATATTAAGTGTTTGTTTGGGCCCAATTTTCTTCCTGATTATAATTCATTTTTTTACCGTTGCACCATGCAACGGTCCAAAAATCAAAGAAAGCTGCAGCCTTTTCTCTCACATGTGTCAGACCAAAACGGACTAAAAATCAATTTTTCCTTTTCACAATCTGTACCAGACAGCCCCTAAAACAATTAAAATCAAAAACCAAAAAAGAATAAGAAATACATTTTGGGGTTGTTTGTTTCTGATTCTTAAAATCAATTCTCATTTTCAACAACACATTCTTCAATAAAATAATATTTTTCATCGCATCAATAATTTTTTCTTCTTTTTCAACCACACATTTCCCATCATATCACTATTCAAAATCAATTCTTCCCCTAAAAATC